ATGGATGCATTTTTTGGACTTCAAAATCTCAACACCCATTCACTGCCATTGTAAAGCTTGGAAGAGCCAGGACATTTTTTTTAACATAACTCTCCAGCTGTATTCGTCTGAAAGAAGAAACTCATATACACCTAGGATGGCTTGAGGGCGAGTAAATCATGGGGTAATTTACATTTTTGGGTGAACTGTCCCTGAGTAAATGATGACAGATTAATTTTTATGTGAACTATCCGGATAGTTCACCTAAAAATGAATCTGTCATCATTTACTCTCACTCATGTGATTCTAAAACTTAAAATTCAGATTCAAATTTATTACACTCTAGTAAATATAAGCTCAGTTTATTAAACCATGTATAAAACTTACTTTTTCTATAATTTTGTTGTTTTTTTTGTAGATATTTCTTTGTCTCAATATGATTTTTTTTTTAAAGTGTTACTGTGTGTGAAATCCACTTAGTCTAGTGTGGAGACTCCATTGTGTTTTACCTTTCCTGAGCTGTATGCATCTTATTCTCGTCACTCTGAAGGTAGTCAGTATAGGCGTGGAGGAGGAGACCGGTACGGCCCACCCACTCGCACAGATTACAGGTTGATTGTGGAAAATCTCTCCAGTCGCTGCAGCTGGCAGGACCTGAAGGTATAGAAACATTATAGTACTACTAGTTTTTAGTGTTATGTTTGTTAAGGGAAGTACCACTGTTACTGTTGCATCTGGTGGCTGCCACTAATCAAGTCACTCCTTTTCTCTCTCTATATTAACCCTTGTGCATCAATTAACAAAAAAGTTACATGGGGATCCTTAGAGGATAAAAATATCTGTTAAAAAAAATCAGTGATTAAAGTGTTATATATTAAAAAAAAAATTTCCGCTTTCACTGACATTTTTTGGTTTAGCACCATCAGTTCTGATCATAACTACTAAAATTAATTATTTTTCTGGATTTTAACCCTTTAAATACCAGTTTGTTTACATAATGCCACTGTTGTTTTTTCATATATTAAAGGCTATGAAGTTTCTTTTTTATTGGGGGGGACTATTACAGTCTTGGATAAGTCATTGATTTAAAAAAAAAACATACATTTTGATGCACAAAAAAAATTATGTTGCAATGTCAGAAGAAACTAAAACAACTACCATTCTCACGCACACATTTCTCAGTACACACATACAAACCACACTCTGATATCCATACCAATACACCCACAAAATTATTTTAATTGCATAATTTTAATTCATCTGGCCTTTTTTCCAGCAGAAAACAGGAAAAAAAAACAGATATTTGCCTAATAGGTGAGAAAATGGTGCCATCAGGTGGAAAATAATAAAAATGTTTAAAAAATAGTATTAATTTTGAAGGCGTACCAACAAAATGAAAGCCCTTCAACAAAGAATGCATGATTTTACGCCTAAATGGCATTGAGATTAAATATTGTTTTAATGGGTTTCGGTGGGTACATTTTTGTCCTTAAAGGAACACTCCACTATTTTTGAAAATAGGCTCATTTTCCAACTCCCCTGGAGTTAAACAGTTGAGTTTTACCATTTTCAAATCCATTCAGCCGATCTCCGGGTCTGGAGGTAGCACATCGTGTACTAAGACAGACGGAAAATGAAAAGTTATAGTAGTTCAGGCGCTGCGTAATATCATTGTGCCTGCTGCACTCATGGTACAGCAGCAAAGTTCCTTGATTATTACGCTGGAATGAGAGTATAGTTCCTAGCCATATCGGTCTAGAAAATCGCAACTTTTCATTTTCCGTCAGTCTTAGTACACGATGTAACTACAGAAGAGTCAAGTTTTAAATAGGAAAAATATAGAAACTCTTTGGTCATTTTTGAGCGAGATGCTAACGGTCTAATCAGATTCAATGATCTATGCTAAGCTACAGCTAAAAGTGCTACCGCCAGACCCGGAGATCGGCTGAATGGATTAGAAAACGGTAAAACTCAACTGTTTAACTCCAGGGGAGTTGGAAAATGAGCCTATTTTCAAAAATAGTGGAGTGTTCCTTTAAGGCCCTAAGTGTAATTTTTTTTGTACCTAGTATAAAATAGATTTATGAAAGGAAGTAATGGTGAAATATTAAAATTCCAATTAACACACATTTTTGGCAAAATGTTTGCTTTTTGCGTTAACACAACAAAAAAAACAAAAACAAAGACCCTAAGGATGCACAAGGGTTAACCCATTATGTATTTTAAGCATTTAGGAAGTAATTCCTGAAAACGTAAGTAATTTGTTCTTGAGAGTCACTAATTCACATGGATGTCATGGATTCACAGGACTACATGCGTCAGGCTGGCGAGGTGACTTATGCCGACACTAACAAGGGCCGCAAGAACGAGGGGGTCATTGAGTTCAGGCAGTACTCAGACATGAAAAGAGCCCTGGAGAAACTGGACGGTACTGAGGTCAATGGAAGGAAGATCCGGCTCATCGAGGACCGGCCTGGTGCCAGACGCCGCCGCTCCTACTCTCGCAGCGCCTCCAGGTGCTAACAAATCAATTTTATTATTGAATGATATTGTAAAAGAGGGAGACTTAAGTGAGACTTTGCGTTCGTTACGAGTCGTCATGTACCTCGATGTCTGAAATTAGTGATTGGCTAAACAAACTTTGCTTGTAGTAAAAGCTGCTTTAGAGTTTCACAGAGAACACGTGTTTAAAGTGTCTTGCTTCTTGTACACATCCCTCAGGTCTCGCTCCAGGAGCAGGAGGTCTCGCAGGAGCCGAAGCCACAGCCGAACCAGAAGCCGCTCAAGGTAGACAACTCAAGTGAATTAAGACTTCAGTTTTCCACTGTGTGAACTTGAAGAGAAATAAAAGTATTTTTCTTTTTTTAAATCTTTTTTTTTTCTTGTTTTCCAGTCTATCTAAACATCTTTAAAACAAGAATATATCTTGAGTTAAATGTTTTCTTTCTTTTTTACCCCACTGACAATTAAATTGTTAGATCTGTGCTATAAACAAGAGACAATCTGTGGTTGAGGTAAGATAATAAACCGAATTCAAGATATATTATCTGAAAACAAGTCAGAATATGTTACTTTTTTTGAAAAGCAAAACGGTGTCTTTTTAAATATTTTTCTTGACAATAAGACAAAAATAGACTGAAAATTGTCTAAATGTTCTGCCCTGCATTTCTCTTCTTTACAGCAAACTTAATTTCTCTGTGTTTTTTTTAAATCCTTTTTTTATCCTTTTTTGTCAGACAGTTTAATTAGGGAAATTGCTTGCTTATTCACAGTTCAGTATTATCTGGTATCGTTAACCTTATGCATCATTTTAGTAGTTTTTATTTTAAAATTGCTTGGTTTCATTTTACTCCGTCTTCGTGAATAAAATATATCGCAACAGTAGCTGTCCTTGCCTTTGCATTATACATTTAGAAATGTACCATAGTTGTTGTTAAGCTGGGGCAGAGTTTATGGTCTTTTTACAATGAAGTTCCCCATACAAAATAATAAAAAAAAACCTGCCTCACAATACTTTGTGTCCATTCAGTTCGTTTTCAAAGGTGTTTTGTGGTGGGTCTCCTAATATTGTAGTGTCAAAAGTAAAACTGTTTAAAGGAAATTGACTCGCACTCATTTTGGTCCAAAACCGAAACAAAAGGAGATGTTTTTCAGAAAGTGTGCTGCTCTCTATCATTCAATGAAAATGAAAGGATGTTCAAGCAATGAAAAGGGACGATACTTAATTGCCCTTCTGCCATCTCTCTAATCTCATTCTTGCTTGAGAATGAAAAAAATGATTAAATCAATAAATATTATCCTGACATCACTGACCTCAGACCTGGTGTGATTCGTTGAGAAGGTGATGCCTATCTGTGCAAGTGTGAATGAAATCTCACAGCTTACCTTAATGTGTCCAGTGATATAAGAAAGTCCATACAGGTTTGGAATGACTTCAATGCTAAATTAACTAATACTATGATCAACTACATCAGAATCTAAGCAGTTGAATTAATATATATATATATATATATATATATATATATATATACAGTG